ATGCCGAGAACAAGAGATATCCAGAGACCGAAAGCCCGGAACATGAGATACCCAAAGACTGGAAGACCGAGACAGAAGAGGAAAAGATACCCAGAGACCGAAAGCCCGGGGCAGGAGAGTTCTATACCCAGAGACCGAAAGTCCGGGGCAGGAGAGTTCTATACCCAGAGACCGAAAGACCCCGACCGAAGAGATACCCAGAGACCGAAAGACCCCGACCGAAGAGATACCAAGAGACCGAAAGACCCCGACCGAAGAGATACCAAGAGACCGAAAGACCCCGACCGAAGACCCAGAGACCGAAGACCCCGACCGAAGGGATACCCAGAGACCGAGAGACCGAGGGAGCCCCCGGCGTCGGGACCGCGCGAGGAATGGCCCCCTCGCGCATAAAGCTGGAGCATCGCCGCTATCAAAGGGTCGGGATGAATGTTATCTGCGTTGCGAGTGTGCTAGTGAGAGCGGGGGGTGGGGTGGGGGTGGAGGGAATGGGGGGGGGCTTTATTGCTGCTGCGTCACTGCGAGAGGGGGAGAGGGAGGGGGAGGGAGGGGTGAGAGGGAGAGAGGAGAGAGGGAGAGAGGGAGAGAGGGGGAGAGGGATACAGAGGTGAGAAAGGAGAATGGGAGAAGTAGCTTGGCAGAGGAGAGAGGAAGAGAGAAGAAAGAAAGAGAGAGAGAGAGAGAGAGAGAGAGAAGAGAGAGAGAGAGAGAGAGAGAGAGAGAGAGAGAGAGAGAGAGAAAGAGAGAGAGAGAGAGAGAGAGTGAGTTATGCACGATATGAAAACACACTCCGTATTTGGTGACTGCTGATTAATCTCATCATCTATTCCACCTTTTTTTTAGCTTGTAAATCCCCCTGCCCTCCCTACCCCCTTCCCCCCCGCCTTCCCCTTCCCCTTCCCCTTCCCCTTCCTTTCCCCCTTCCCCTTCCCTTTCCCCCCTCCCCCTTCCCTTTCCCCCTCCCCCCTTCCCTTTCCCCCCCCCCCTTCCCCCCTTCCCCTTCCCTTCCCCTTCCCCTTCCCCTTCCCCCTTCCCCCACTGCATGGAACACCTGTACCCTGACTCAAGGTGAAGTAATTTCTCCTCCTTCCCCCTCCTCACCCCTACACCCTAACATGAGCCTCCGCCGCCACCACCCAACTTCCTCTCTACCTACGCCATCACCTCACCCCCACTTCACCCGCCGCCACCCCCAACTTCCTCTCTACTACACCCTCACCTCACCCGTTCACCCCAAACCTCACATTACCTCTACCTCCGCCCCAACCTCACTTCACTCCAACCTCCAGCCCACCCACCACTCTAGCCTCACTCCACTCCGCCCATCCACCCCAACCTCGCGTCACTTACCCCCACCCCCAACCCGTCACCTTACATATACCCCCACCCACCCCCAACCCACACCTGCGACCTGGAGACAGTGAAAAGGTCAGTCATGTGTTTAATCACGGCTGTCATGTACGTATGGCATGGATGCGTGTCTGGTGTGTGTGTGTCTTGTTGTTTTTTTTTTTTTTCTGGAAGATTCTGCATGGGAAATGGCGCTTATGGATTTCGCAGGTTGATGTACGTCGGTATTGCTGTCGTATATTGGCGCGAGTATACTTCCGACGTACCCCATCATTATCATCATCGTCACCACCACCACGCCACACAGCACCATACACTACACATCACACTACACACCACTATACACTACACATCACACTACACACCACTATACACTACACATCACACCACACACCACTATACACTACACATCCACATCACACCACTATACCACTAACATCACACCACACACCACATACCACCACCATGTTCATCATCATTACCATTATCATCATTGTCGTGTTCATTGATCATTACATTATCACATCATTATCATTATCTTGTTCATCATCAATAATACATTATCATTATCATCATCATCGCTCATTCATCATCATCATCATCGTCATCATCATCATCATCATCGTCATCATCATCATCATCATCATCAATCACCATCATCATCATCACAATCATCATCACCATCATCATCATCATCATCATCACATCATCATCACATCATCATCACCATCATCACACCATCATCATCATCATCATCATCATCATCATCATCATCATCATCATCATCATCACCACCACCACCATTATATTGCGGATAGATCATAATTACCTAAAAGTTAAATACAGGCCGCACACTCTCATCCTTGTTTATGATTACCTCCCCATCGCTTCCACAACGGAATGAGAAAGAGAGAAAAAGAGAGAAGAGAAGAAAAAAAAATACCGTAAATCGAGAACCAAATAGGAATCGCATAAATAAGGACAACTGGAATAGATTAAAGGAATACTTGTCGCGTTCAGTCAAATATCGATTCCAGCGGCGCGCGTGTGTGGCGTTCGTACCCCGGGAGTGCCACGCGCTGGGATGGGATTGTAGGCTTACTCGCGGGTGGAGTGGAGACGGAGGGGGGGAGGGGGAGTGGATGTGGGTGGGGTGGTGGAGGGAGGAGGGGGGGTGGAGGTGGAGGTGAGGTGGAGGTGGGTGGGGTGGATGGGGGTGGATATGGGGGGTGGATGGGAGAGTGATGTGAGGTGAATGGGGGAGGGGATATGAGTGAGTGAGGGGTGGAGGGGGTGGGATGGGGTGGGGTGGAGGGGGGAGAGGATGTGGATGAGGGTGGATGTGGGGGGAGGGAGGGAGTGGATATGGGGGGGGCGGATGTGTGGTGGAGGGGGTATAGGGGGAGTGGACATGGGTGGGGGTGGATGTGTGGTGGAGGGGGAAGGGGAAAGGAGGTAGGGAGATGTTGATTAAGAGTAGGGGGCGGAAGTAAACCGGAAGTACGTAGGTCTCTTACTTTCTTTTGGTAACGTTAATATTTATGTGTCTGTGAAATTGTAACTTGAGGAGGATTCTCTTTTCTCGCAATAATGTAGTAATGTTAGTTGGTGCGTTGGAATGGGTGTTGATAGGTCTGGTGTGGGGGACGAATCCAGGTGCGAGTGTCAGTGATAGTACTTTTGTACACACTCTTATACAGGCTATCCAGATTAATCCATCCATACATAGGTACACGCACGCACATGCACAATACACACAATACACACACATGTACGTACACACGCGCGCACACACACGCACACTCACACGCACGCACACGCACACGCACACGCACGCGCACACACACACACACACACACACACACACAACACACACACACACACACACACACACACACACACACACACACACAACACACACACACACACACACACACACACACACATGTACGTACACAAGCATTCATACTCAGCCTTAAACGGTGTCGTTGGAGCGGCTGCTTCGGCTGGAAGAACGCGACTGGATTGGGTAAAGTTGAGAGATCGGCCGAGCAGCTCCTCCTCCTCCCCTCCATCTCCTCTTCCTCTCCATCTCCACTTCCTCCTTCTCCTCTCACTTCCTCATCCCTCATCTCCCTTCCTCATCCTCCATCTCTTCCTCCTCCTCCGTCTCTTATTCCTCCTCCCCATCTCCTCTCCTCCTCCTCTTCCCTCTCCTCTCCCCATCTCTCTTCTCATCCTCCATCTCCTCTCCTCCTCTCTCCTCTTCGTCTCATCTCCTCTCTATCTATTCCTCCTCCTGCCATCTCCTCCTCCTCCTCCTTCCTCTTCTCTTCCTCCATCTCCTCTCCTCCGTCTCTTATTCCTCCTCCTCATCTCCTCTCCTCCTCCTCTTCCCTCTTCTCTTTCCTCCATCTTCCTCTCCTCCGTCTCTTATTCCTCCTCCTCCATCTCCTCTCCTCCTCCTCTCCTCTTCTCTTCCTCCATCTCTCTCCTCCGTCTCTTATTCCTCCTCCTCCATCTCTCTCCTCCTCCTCTTCCCCTTCTCTTCTTCTCTCTTCTTCCTCATCCTTAGCTCCTCCTCTCCATCTCCTTATCTTCCTTTTCCTTTCCTCCTGCCCCAGCTGTTCCTCTTCCTCCTCTTCCTCCTCCATCTCCATCTCCTCTTTCTCTTTCTTTCCCTCTTCCTCCTCCTCTTCCTTCATTTCTTCAGCTCCACTTGCCCCTACTCCTTCTCTTTTTCCCTCTTCCTCCATTTCCTCCTCCTCCTCCTGCTCCATCACCATCATCATCCTGGTTATGCTCGGAGATATTCTTTTTATTTGTTCAGTGTACTTAATTGTCATTGATTTTTTTAAGGAGGATAGTTAGTGTGGGTGAGAGAAGGGGGAACCGAGGAGGACCTCTCGAGCTTGGAGTAGGGGGTAGGGGCAGGGGGTAGGGGAGGGTCAGAAGGAAGGGGGATTCTCAGGGAAGAGAATCTTTTGGTGTGGCTGATCACTCCCCTATTCGTGCATATCTCTGTATTCTATCAATCAGTCTATCTATATACATGTCATATATATATATATATATATATATATATATATATATATATATATATATATATATAATATAATAATCTCTCTGTTTTTTTCTCTCTCTCTCTCCGTCTTCTTCTCTCTCTCTCTCTCTCTCTCTCTCTCTCTCTTCTCTCTCTCTCTCTCCTCTCTCTCTCTCTCTCTCTCTCTCTCTCTCTCTCTCTCTCTCTCTCTTCTCTCTCTCTCTCTCTCTTCTCTCTTCTCTCTCTCTCTCTCTCTCTCTCTCTCTCTCTCTCTCTCTCTCTCTCTCTCTCTCTCTCTCTCGCTCTCTCTCCTCTCCTCTCTCCCTCCACCTCATCCAGATCCTGGGTCTCTCTGTTTTTGCACACTCTGCTTCTTACATTTCAGTGATTGGGAAGGATCGAGGAGCTTGGTTTCGCGAGTTTGATTTCATGATGGTTAGTTCCGCTGTGATGCCGGCGTGAGGGGCATGAATGACAACGAGGGGGGAGGGGGAGGTGTGGAGGGAAGGTGGGTGGGAGGGAGACGGGTAGGGACGGGGAGGAAGGGAGGAGAAGGGAAGGGGGAGGGGGCGAAGGGGAGAAGGGAAAGAGGGGAGAGGGGAGACGGGGGTGGGGACAAAGGGAAAGAGGGGAGGTGGGAGACGGGGAGGGACCAGGGGTGGGAGGAAGGGCGGAGGGGGGAGAGTGGATGAGGAAGAGGGTTGAATGGACGGAGGGAGGGAGGGAAAGAAGGAAAGAGGGAAACCAAAAACAGATGGACAGACAGTGGGTCAAACAGGCAGACACTGACTGGCTATTTGAAGCAGTTAATACGTAGATGATTAAGAGAAATGAACAGGAAGACGCACATACTTGGGGGAAGTGACAGGCAGACAGAGATAAGGCAAATATACAGATGTAAAAGCAGACATAAACGCAAAAGAAAGATAAGCATACGGACAGATAGACAAGAACAAGCTAAAAGAGACAGACAGACAGACGTAAAGAGAGAGAGAGACAG